CACAACGCTGGGGCTGATAGCCGCCATAACGGAGCGGGCTGGCGAACGAGCTGTTGGCAATCTGAGGAGAAGGAAACTGGTGGAGGGCAGAGGAGCCGGCTGAGGCGACAGCACTCGCGCCGCCTTACTTCTTCACTTTTTATTTTGGAACAAGGTCTAAGTCATTGAAATGCCCAGGCTGAGATCAAATTTGTGACCCGCCTGCCTCAGCCTCCCATTGTGCTAGGATTGTAAATGTGCACTACCATAATCTACTCTGAATATTCTTAATGTTCAAGATCAAGAGAAAAGGGTTCTCAGCAATAAGCCATACTAATCAAACATTTTAAACCTCAGATAAGCTGAAATATGTTAAGTATATTTAAATAAAAATATTAAGTAATACTACACATGGTACACAAGTATACAACATGAAGCTCTTACTCCAACTGATCAAAGAGACTACCACAGCTACACAGATTTATTCGTGGCTAAAATCAGGACATCAGCAGTCTGTACTCCTGAACATTTTAATCTGGTCCCTCATAGGACCACCTTTACTGACCTGAACTTAGACTTCAGACAGTCCCAAAGAGCTCAGCACATATTTATGTTAGAGACATGCTAGCAGTTTCTTTATGATAATTCCAGGGTAAATATTCTGAGGGCACTCTTCTGGGAAAAGTTGCACTTCTCCTCAATCCTGGGCTGTTTGGATCTTTTGGACCACTGCACTGAGGACATGCTTCTCTCTTAGCTGTTAAGAAACTCAGAGACAAATGGCTGATTCTCTCTTTGACATAAATCCTGTGGTCTGATCATACCATCATTGACATATTTTTCTTTTGGTTCATTTTTTCATTTACTTCTTTCTTAAACTTTGTATGAAAAGGTAAATATAATGAATATTATCCAACACAAATCCTCTTGAAACACGGCGAAAGGGCTCAGTAATGGAGTGCTAGCCTAGCATATGGGAGGCCCTGGGCTCAATCTCCAGGACTGTAAAAATTAATTGAAATAAAACATGGTGGAGTATAAAAATTTTTTATTATAGGCACATACACAGGGCCAGGGGTAAGGGGCAGCTCAGTGGCATAAGTGCCTAACTGGCATACACAAGGTCCTGAGTTCAATCCCCAGTACCACAAAAAAAGAGGAAGAAACACACACACACACACACACACACATACACACACACACACAGAGGTAAATCATGCCATCATGTCCAGGTTTTCTAGTTTATGACAATCAATCCTTTTCTCCATCCCCACTTATTTTTTTTATTCTGTCCTGAATTAAGACCCAAGATCTTTGCCTTTAGCTTCCCAACCTCTTTTTTGTCTGCCATGCCTGAGTACTGTAATTAGAATCACCTAAATACCCCATCCAAGAAATAGACAATGAAAGATAAATTATAAAAGGCATTTTTGTCTTTCCAAATTAAATTCCAAAACATCCTCCTTATCCCACTGAATCCAGCATCTGTGCTCGCTTCAGTAGTACACATACTAAAACTGGAATGATACAGGGAAGATTAGCCTGGCCTCTGCACAAGGATGACACGCTAATTCGTGACGCATTCCACTGAATCCAGCATCCAAGTTCATCAATTTCCTTTATTTTTCAACTGAAATAGTCTTTGGATTGCACAGAAATATGAATGCACTTAATACCACTGAAATATACACTTGAAAATGACCAGAACGATACATATATTTTACAATTAAAAGAAATCCACTGAACCAATGAAATCTATTTGTGATTTACTATTCCCCTAAGTGTCTTAAATGTAACTTTCTCGAGATTGAAAAGATGAGTATAACTATTGTGGAGGATTATTTGAGGTATCTACTGAAAGTTTAAGGACAAATGTCCTATGATTCCACAATTCCTCATCCATCCTAGAGAAAATTTCCTACATATGCAAAGATAAACTGCACACAGATGCAGATTATAGTAATATGTATAACCAGTGAGGAGCCTGCTTATAAAACTTGAAAACTACTAAAATAAACTATACATATCCATACCATGAAATTTAAAGACATTCTGTTAATGGGAATTTGCAGGTTATGTAAATAGAAATAGTATATTAAAGAAAAACACTAAAATTAAGTATGTGTGTAGACAAACGGGTATATGTGCACCCATATACACACATAAACTAGGAAAAAGGAGTGAGTGAGTTGTGGTTGTACATGCCTGTAATCCTAGCACTTGGGAGGCTGAGGCAGGATTGTAGTGGGTTCAAGACCAGAACTGAATTATACAGGGAGAACTTGTCTCAAAACGAATACAAACGAAAAACAAAGAAAAAAAGATAGTAAGTGGGCATACTGGTGCATGCCTATAATATCAGCACTAGGGAGACTGAGGCAGGAGGATCACTGTGAGTTCTGAGGCCAACCTGGGTTTCACAGTGAGTTGAAAGCCAGAATGAACTACACAATGAGATCCTATCTCAAGAAAAATAAGAAAAAGAAAAAACACAGAAATAAGAAATGACATGGGGAAAAAGGCATATGCAAATAAAGGCACTTGTTACTCTCTATATAATATTTTTTAATTTTTCACAACTACCTATGCATAATTTTCTATGAGTTGAACTACCAGTGTTCAGCCAGGAAAAGAAGGAAGAGCAGAAAAAGAAGACAGACATCACACCATTCTGCTTGCCACCCCACCGCACAGGCACCTTCTCCTGGCTGTGTGCAGTTCTGTGCTTCCATTCCTTCTGATCTCAGCACGTGAGTATCTCACCATGTGTACAGATATTTAGTTTTCAAAGAACACAGTAAATTGCTTGACTCTCAAATCCTACATGTATGAAAAGAGCTCGTGGAGAGTAACTCTGAAATACTTTCCTTTATTTTCTGGCTCTAGAACCTAGCTCCCTTGCAAGACCACTAGATGCAACTCCGCTACGTCATACAATTTTAAGTAAAGCCACATTGAATGAGGGAAAACAGGAAATTCAAAGATAACATACTTAATCCATAGAAAGCACAAGTTTAAACACCAAGTCCAACCTTTTCTGTCATGTTCCTTTGCTTTTTCAGAGGAGGGAATTTAGGCTAATTACTTTGTCCATTTCAGACACTGGTCTCTGGGCTACCTTCAAGAATATTACCTTTCTTTCGAAGAGTGGCTGGCAACCAGAACTGTATTAAGTATTCCAGATGTTGCCAAATCATGACTTATACAGTAGGTAGAGCTCTTCTAATCTGTTTTCAACACCCCAATATTTGCCAAAATAACTTGTGTTGTCTGTTAGAACAAATAGCATTCCTAGTGTCTGTCATTCTGCTTTTGTTGTACAAGGTCTTGCTACACAGCTGGGACCTGTAGGGATCCCCCTGTCTCAGCCTCCCCAGCACTGGGATTAAAGGTATGCACCACCACATCCGGGGTTTCGGTAGTCCACATGGTACGCCTGGGCTCCAGGGCCAGCATGGCATGTAGTACCAGGGATTGAACCTGGGTCCCTGCACTTGCCAGGCAGGCGCGTAGACCCCTGAGCTATCTCCCAAGCCCTGAAAATCTGTAATTACTACTTAAATACCATATAGCAACATTATTATAAAAAGCTGCAACAGGCTGTGGGGAAAGGGAAGTATTAACTATAGTTTACTTGATAATTTAAGATCTGAACATTGAAGACAGCAACGTGCAACGTAACAATCATTGTTGAATACCTTTCATCTTATTTTTTTAGAATGTGTATCGAGGGACAGAGATATAGTTCAGGAGAATAAGTGCCTGCCTGGCAAGCACAGTCCCGAGTTCAATCCCCAGTACAAAAAAAGTTCATCATTTCTAATGTCTTGCCTATTATTTTTATACTTTCTTTAAAATAAATTTTAAAAGGATAATTTAAGAAATTGATTATCAGGTCAAAAGTTACCCTGAATTCTCCTTTGCCCTCAGGCATACAATTAACTCTGGATTTCACTGGTTTATACACTTTGCCTTATTTCAGAAAGAATGTACTGAGAAGCCCACTCTTCTCAGTACATTCCAATAGAATTGTTTCTATTGGAAGAGAAGCTAAGATGCAAGACGTCAGGGACCCTTCAGTACCCTTCAGTAACATACGCAGATGCTCAGACCCCTCAGTCGCATTCTCCTTATCCATGACAACAGATAATCCAGAAGGCAGAAAGGGGAAACTGCTATTTACCAAGTGTCTCCCAGGTCAGCTATACCAAAGTCCTTGAGTATTTCAAGAAGAAACTCCCCTGTATTCTTACCTTAACCCACAAAATTCTCCCATCCTCAAAGGAAAGCCAATAGTTTCCTCCTATAGCTTCCTCTCTCCTAACTGGACAGTTGAGAAAACACTCGAGGGATTAAGTGGGTTAGCCCCTTCTTGGCTCTCTTTCAGAGACTACAAACATATTCTGCTCTTCTGAAAATAAAGCTCCATCCTAAGAGGGGATGCAAAGAAAGAGGGAGAAACCTGCAAGTCGTGATGCTTAATTTCAGTTGAGAGAAGACACCACAAATTCCAAAAGGAGTTAGATTATAAACCATATTCTCAAACTCAGCTTTGTGTTTTTGAGACAGAGGCTCGCTATGGCGATCAGGCTGGCCTTCAACTCACTATGTAGTCCAGACTGGCCTCAAACTCATGGCAATTTTCCTGCCACACCCTTCCAAATGCTGAGACTACAAGAGTAAACAACCATGCCCAGAAAATTCAGCTTTATTAACAATACGGTTTATATTAACCATATTGCCTGTCTTTGTATCTTAATCCTTAACTCATTCTAAATTAAAGGAAAGAAACAGTGTCACTAATGTATACATCTAAAACTGGACATCAGAAATGTGAAATAATTTGCCAAGGCCCAAAGTTAGTAGCAGAACAAAATTTTAAAGAGAATCTTGATTCCATGTTTCACACTGGCTCATTAACATTTCATGAAAAAAAAAATTTCATGAAAGAAAAAAACCCAATCACTAACCTGACAAACAAATTTGACATCGGGTGAGGATCTATTGAAAGGTTTTGGGAAAACATAGAAGTTAAATGACTTCATGATATACCTGAGAAGACAAGAGAAAAGGAGACTTAGGGAGTTATGTTATTCCACAGTGAGAATTCCCACCTCTTATTTTAAAAAACCTACTTTGAATCTGTGTAGTCATACTTAAAAGTGCAAAGGCCAAACTGAAACAGCAAAAAGTCCATGGAATGCTGGAAAAGGGAAATAAAACATCTGTCACAATACGGCTGCAAATTCCACACAAGCAATAGTGTTCCCAACTAGGTGCCCTTTCTGCATCACTCAACTTGACACTGGCAGAATATTTCCAATTAAAACAAATTATACAAATTATGAGTCAGAGGTATTATATATGTATCTCTCCATTTTTCCTAAATAAGTACTTTTCATCATCACTGAACATCACCTATAAGCTAACTTTCAATTAAAATAAAAAAATTAGTGAAATAACATTATTGGGGGCCGGGGAGACGGCTCAGTAGAATAAGCGCTTCCCTGACAAGTGCAAGGGCCTGAGTTCAATTCCCGGTTCCACAAAAAATAAATAAATAAATACATAAATAAAATAAATATATAAACAACATTATTAGGGCCGGTGGTACAGCTCAGCGGACTAAGCGCTTGCTCAACGAAGCGCAGGGGCCAGGGTTTGATCCCTGGCTCTGGGGCGTGGTGATGCACGCCTGTAATCCCAGCCAAGGGGAGGCAGAAAGCAGGAGGATCACTACAACCTAAATAGTGAGACCCTGCACAGAAAAAAAAAAA